CCTGTTTACTACTGCCCTCGTTCTTCCTACTACCGCCTGTTCTGTTGCCTTTTTTACTTTCTCTCTTTCACCTATTGGTACCGCATCTTCATATTTTTTCTTGCTTTGTCAAAGGCTTTCACTCCCTTCTTTAGGTTCTTGTCATTGGTTGCAGTGACACCTTTTATCAATTTTTCAGCAGTGCCATGTTGGACAATCTTCCTGTCCTCATAAAGGTCAATAACAGTATTGATTTTTGGACGTGTAGCAGTGTCAACCCTGCCTCTTTTCCTGTCTCTTATGTTCCTTAAACTGGTAATATGTTTTTTCTATAGATATTTTTTGTCATATAATACTTTATATTGATATATAATAAGCTTAAAGCTTTAAAACAAAAACCATTTAATGTTATAAACTATTTATTATTTAGTATCGTTAACATGGAATATATATAAAGACATATTAACTATATACATTAGGATATAATGACTACTCAATTAAACATTGAAGACCGGACCTAACACTGGATGAAATTAAAGTGCAGATGTCAATCTATCAGGCGCTTTACGAAAAGAAAAGGAGAAGAGAAGACCCTGAATATGCACAAAAGTTGAGGGACAAAGACCGCCTCAGACAACAAAAGAAGAGAGAAGAACGGGGTGTTCCAAAAAGGATACCTGTCACCAACAGTGAAACGAGGCAAATACTGATGGTGGTTCCAAAATGATTTTACTATTAAAAAACATTAACTTATTTGTTATTTTTATTTGTTGGATATGCTGAACCAGAAGCAGAAGCGCTACTACTTCTTCTACTTGATGAGCTTGATGATGTAGGTATTGGTAAATCTGTTGGATGTGCTACCATGGGTGGATTGTGTGATGAACTGCTTGATGAAACATTTACTACTGAATGTGGTGGAGAACTATGGACACTCACTGCAGGTGAAGAATGCACGCTTATAACTTCCTCTTCATTATCATTGTAATTTTCCCCTGCTTGTGTCAAATAATCAATCGCTGACAATAAAGCACTGCCACCCATCATAGCTGTATTTCCTGCTACTTCTGCCAATCTAAAACCCATCTTTAATTTCCCTCTATGTCAAACATCACCTATTGCCTTCACTGTCACTGCTACTACTGCTAGGGTTTTCAATCATTTTTGTAAAAGCTTCTACCATCTTATCACTTCTTGATGGCTCAAAATCACTACTTGATGGCTCTAAACTTTTGAAGTTCTTTGAACTCATCTTCACAATATAGTTTCCTATTATCCGGTTTAATTTATCTACTGTTTCAGTCTCTTTGTCAAACGTAATTTTCTTATCGGTTTGCGTTTGTTTGTTCTCTATCTCTGGGAATTGTGTTGCCTCATCTTCAGATTCTATCTCATTACTTCGTTCTCTTCTTTCTGTTGGCTTATTTAAAAATAATGTAAGTATTCATCATCATCTATTGTATGTATTTCTTCAGTCTATTGTGTACTAAAATCATGATTAATAATAATTAGATTCTATTCTTAATTATGCCATTTCACTTCCCCTTGCGCTGTGTCTGTTTCTGTATTCTTTAATTTTGCTTTTCAATAGTTCTGATTCAATTCTTCTTTGCCATACACCGGTTTGCATCATATCAACATCTACATAATATTGCTTTGTTGTTTTGCCTCCTCCTTTGCCTTTTGCTCTTGTTGGTAGTTCATTCTCTGGGTCATCTACATCAAAGCCTCTCAAAAACAATTGAAATTTCAATGCTTCTGCGCTCATAGTTCCTACATTTAATCTATAGCTAATGCTTCTTAATACTGCTTGTTTGGGTTCAGGGGCTTCGCGTTCTTCCCTTGCTGTCATCATTTCTACTTCATCTTCTGCTCGTTGGTTGTCTTGTGTTAAATCAATTGCTAATTGTGGCACCGGTTGAGCCATTGGCGTTCCTACTCTGCTACTTGTTCTACTCAATCCACCAAATATCATATCAATAACAGGTGTGGCGCTCCTACTTAATAAACTTTGGTGTGCTTGTCCTTGTTGTTTTCTCTCCTGTGCCATTCTGGCTCTTTCTTGTAGTTGTGCTTGAATGGATGCATTATTAACGTTGTCATCTCTTGGCGTCTCTGCTTCTATTGGGGTTGTGTCTCTACTCTGTTGCCTCATCCTTTCAACATGAACTGTTCCACCTCCTAAATTGTGTCTCAATAATAGTTCTCTCATCTGTCTCTCTTGTATTCTGTTTTTTTGTTCCTTCAATACTTCAAATGCCATCAAAGAAGCTACCTTCAGGACTTGCTTTAAAAAATGTAGCCCTTCTGTCTGGAAGGCTTCCAGTTAATGTTTCATTTTCTCCTATCAACCCTGCTATTTCATCATATGTTGGTCGCCTCTTCAATTCATATTTTGAATAAGGATTTATCATTTCCAATGCCATAGTTGCCATATATTAATATGTTAGGTAAACATGTTAATATATTTATGCAAAAAAATAGGCCTTTAGGTTGCTTAATGCTGTGTTCTTTTGTGTTGTGCGGTAGGTTGTCTCTTTGGACTTCACCTCTCAACCTGTCCAGTTCATTTTGATACTTTGACCTAGCATTTGCTTGTATCATGTCCTTTCTTAATGCTACCATGCCCTCTCTTGCATTTCTTAACTTAAGTTCCTTGTGTAAATGCTCCAGATAACTTGTATCTCTCATATCAAATGAACTAAAAATTATTAAAAATTTGTGAAGATGTGCTTTAGTGCCTGTTTTGTTGTTGTGTTTATGATACTTAAACATTATTAATATATTTTGTTTTAGACAAATGTATTAATAATGTAGACTTATTATTTTAATCGTATACCACACACCCGCGTTCGCAAATTTCTAACACGCTTGCACTAATAAGGTGGGTAAAAACCTCTTGAATGTCTTCAGCATAAATTGCGTTAGTGCTATCACCGGGTGTAGTGTTTAGAGTTCCTTCAGTAGGGCGGATTTTCATAGTCATTAAACTACCCATTTTTGTGTTAACTCCAGTAAAGTTGACGTCAGCCATCTTTTCAAATGACATACCAATAATAAATGTGTTTTCTCTGTATTGCCTGTAACTGAAAATCAATGCATCTTGGTCCGGGTTCATGTAATGTATGGCTCCTCGCAAATAGTAGAAGGTTTCTGCATGATAATGATTGTGCCTCAAACTCTGGATACTTTTTGTTGCCTAACTGGATTTGCCATTATAAGTTTCTACCATAGTCTTGGAAACCTTTGCCTTGGTCTTGAGGATTTGCTACTGCTCCATTGTCCCAGATGAATGAGTTAATTTGAGAATTGTAAAAGTAGTTCCATCGCTTATGAACATAGTTGTCTGGCAAATAGTTAGCATTGATAGTTCCATTTCCTGGTGTTCTGTATAAAGTACTGAATGCTCCTGTGAGTTTGAATGATGACTTAACAATGTTCATATCCAATTCACCGCCTCCTGTGTTGAAGGTTTGTGTTAGTGTGTGATACATAGGAAAGACCAGTTTTAGTGACTCACCGTCCAACAAATGTTTTACTATGTTGTTGTTATTAACAGTGTTGTCTAAAGTCATTACTTCAGCTCTGATAATAACATTGTTTAATTCCCACTGTGTAGAAGTGTTAGCTGCTTGAAAGTAATACCCCTGTTTGTCAGTTTGAGTGTTCGGGCTTCCTACTGCGCCTCCTTGTGGTTCTACAATAGGTACCAATTCATCATTAACAATTGCGAATTCTAATTCCAAAGGCGCATGCCTCAAAGGTAAATAATAATTTGATTGCATCAACCCACAAACAGGCTTATGGCTGAATCGGGCTTTACCATTAGCGCCGGAAATTCTTGTCAATGAGTGTCTTGTATACTGTATATTTTATCTATTCTACCCCATTCATTTTTATCACCGTCAGGGGATACAGTTACTACACCGGGGGTTGGAGTAACACCAGCAGTAGTAGCCTGCAATAATACATCCAAACCATTACTGTAGCATAGTCATGAAAGTCAGCGTCCCATCTTGGGTTAGCTGACATCTCTATGTCATCCATGTCTCTAACATACAACTCACAGTGTCTATTGTATTCAACAATATTTCGATCCATTTGACCTCCTACTATTGCTCTGTATCGTTGAATAAAGGCATGTAAGCCTCCTAATGGACGTAAGAAATGGTGTCTTGTTCGATCGTTATTTTGCAAAGTTGCAAACAACCTTACTGAACTCAAATCCAAATAGGTATTATCCTCTCCTGAAATGTAAAACCTAATGTTTTTCGCCCCCGCATTCGCATTAAATACGTTTGTGGTGCTACTAAAATAGTTTACAAATCGCCTGTTTGTAACATATTGTGAAGTGAAGTTTCAGGTAATCCAAAGTTCAGGTAATCCAGGTCACCAGCTTAAAAACAGACATCAAACGAAGCGGTATCCATTTAGCAGAAAGGATTTCTATGTTTTTTTCCTTCAGGGAGAGCTTTGGTAAGGATGAGTCTGGTTCTATGTTGTCCTTTTTATCCAGGTTCTTTTACAAAACTTGTGGTTTTTTACTTTAACATTTCAAGGTAAAAAATCACAAGTTTGCGTCTGTATGTACTTTTTGATGATGCATGGTTTAAAAAAATATGAAGCATTGTTTTGCTTTGTGTGTGTGTCATGGTTTCGTGCAAATTACTTTTTTGTTAGGTCGATTTGCTTTGCTGGTCGTTTGTGGGAGTCTTATGGTTTTGCATGAAAAGTATGCTAAGGAGCCCTGGCGGCACATTGGTCTAAAAGTTCCCCACCACGGGGCCCCCCCCCCCCGACGAACAGAATCAACTCTTACAGGACCAAACTCAATGCACAATCCCAACTCCTGATTGTAATACATTTTTGCTAAAGCAAGGAGAACTCAGGTAGCTCAAGCTACCTTTCGTGAAATGCTATGCCAAGTCTTTAAACAAATTTGGCCAAAACCACAGGACCAAAGTGTGCAAAGTGCTTGCGAAAGTCAAGTCTGCCCATCGCAGATCGCAAGGGCCCCCCACCAACCACCATCAAGCCGTGTCGGACCATGATCGTCTCCCAAAGCTGTGTGCACTTGTGAATGAAGGACGCCTCCCACAGCCCGCCGATTTGCTGCATGTTGGATCTCTTCTGTTTAGGTGGGAGGCATTGGTGAGAACAGGAGCAAAATGGAAAGTAATCGAAGTATAATCAGTGAAACATACCAACATCCAAGTTTTCAGCAGGAGGTTCAGAATCTGGGAGGATATAACCTGCCCCACCTATTATACACTGTCTGCCAGTTTGACTCTTAATGCATTATCAACCCTCAGAATCCCTACAATCAACTAATGCCTTCGAATCTGGAATGGGTTCTTTTCGGAGCTTCTTCATCATATATATAACTTCATAACCCCGCACTATGCTGCCACCATCTTCCACCAGCACCTCCAACATCGAATGTTGATGGCTAACTCCCCCACCTACACCCATCCCATAAGTTCATCATCTCCAGCCCCTTCGAGGTCAGCGCGCTGCCGCTCTCTTCCCTGTGGCCCAACGCACGGCCTTCGGCTGCAGGTGACGCGCCCGAGCTGCTCCTGGTCCCGCATCGCTCAGTCCGGATGTGCTGCCGCGATGGGGTCCGTTCGATCTGTCGCATTCGATTTTGCGGAAGTGAAGGATGGTGGATTTCCTCCAGAAAGCCCTTCTCTTCATCCCCATCCCTTCTCGAAATGTTTGAATTTCTACCTGGTGCGGGGGCCGTTTCAGCTTGGCGTCCTTCCAATTCGTTGATCAGCTTGCCGTAGTCGGACGGTGGTAGCCTCGCCGAGCCCACGAGCCGGTGCGGCAAGTCGCGCAGCCACGAAGTCAAAAAGCTCAGGAGCATGAGTCTGGGCACTCTCTCTCTCTCTCTCAACTCATCTGGAAAAACTTCTGAATAGCTCTTTGGACTCAATCTCTGTGCGCAAAGCGAGGCGAGTCGGAGGATTTTTAGGGCATCAATGGAGCCAAGGATTCTACGCAACCACCTGTTCTTCAAACTGGAGCTGCTCTGTATGTGTGTCAGTCAGGGGAACCGGTCTTGAACGATGTCCATCGCAGAAAACCGCTATTCGCCTCACATCCCACTCTCTGCCAGTGAGGACCACTCTCGTGCTCAAACTCTTTGACTGAACAGGACGTCGACGTCGCGATCTCTAAGGCTCAGACTTGGTTCCTGGGAACAAATCGCCAGTGATGCCCAAGAAGAGAGGGATGTCCTCAAGGTTTGAGTCTCAAAGACGCACCGAACTTCATCTAAACCGGCTGGAGGATGATTCTTTTAAAAACGACAACATTGCAATTTTCACTTCTCCCCTTCTATCTCTCCTTGGTGGCCCTCTTTTTCACCATATTTCACCCCTTTCACCCGTTTCCCTTCGTGAGAAACAACGCCACAGCGTGGACCGCGCCGCCATCCGCAACCAAGGCACGTTGGAGGTGAACTTGGGCAGGTTCACATCCTCGAGTTCAGGGGTATCCCAGTCGGCTTTGAAAGACCATCCCACAAAAATTGGATAAGCATGAGGAAGAAAACATGGAAGACTTGTTGTTGTAGTCTAAAGGCCTCGGTCAAACAATGGTTGTTTGGATGTTCTTTGGTGGCCGATCCCTGTCTATGAAGCGGCAATTGCTTTGCAATGCTTTGCATGTCCTCCGTGTAGTCGCATCGGTCTGAAATTGAGCGCAGGCATCAACGATCTGAGATACAAACGTTGAGCGCTGAGAGCATCAAAATGTCCTCTGCACGGCTGCTCCCAAACCTGGAGGAATCGGCATCTATGAGTGAGCTATACCCACCCTTGGGAGGCGATCCAGTCAGGAAACCGGAAACTGTTTCTTGAATCTGTCTATAATTATATATAGCTCCGTGAAGGTGAAATGCTGCGCTATTGAAATGCCATTTTTGTGCATCATGCAACTTCCAAAATCGTTCCAGCACTTCTTTTCGTTTAGGCTCCCTGGCTTCTTTCGCAGTTGTCCCGCAGCCACCAAAATTGACCTGGATGGAAAGGGAATCAAGTTAGAAGCAGCAGTGGTCTCAGCTTCTTGACCACTCCACCGGACCCGGCAGCAAATGCTCCGCGTGATCTGTTGCGCAGCAAACCCCTCACACATCAGGTTCTCAAACCCTGGGTTCCTGGCTTCAGCGCACGCATGCCAAAGTCGTAGTGGTCCTGCACTCTCAGATTGGGACATATGGCTTTCCTATTAGCTGTCGGATGTGAGTGCTATGTACCAGTTTCTCTGAAGCAGAAACCATTGGTCGGCAGACATGAACTACGAATTGCCTGAAGAATCTAAGCCTAACTTGGGGTGAAATGACGTGAACATGCACATGTTTGAAACCGGGCCTTTCAAACCAATTCTTTCTGCACGACGCCCACGAAGCCCGACGTCATCGGACTGCGCGTGCTGCGGATCTCGCACCTGTGACGAGAGCTGCTCGGATCCCAAGCGCAACGAGGCCACCGCTTTGGCCGCCAAGGGCTTGGCGTTGCCGAAGCCCACCTCGCTGACGTGTGGCGCGACGGGTTTCTTGTTTGTGGGGGGGAAGGCCGAACGCAAAATATCTATATAACTCTAATTAGAAATCTATATACTTATCTATATATCTATCTGTCGGTCGGTCGGTCTGTCCATCTATATATCTACTTATCTATCTAATCTAATCTATATAATTATAATCTAATCTAATCTATAATCTATATGTTTCTAAATCTAATCTAATCTATCTGTGTGTATGCATGCGGCTGTGAAGATGCCAAATTCCAGCACAAGTGTTCGGCGTCAGGAGCAATCCCCACGCGAGACTTGTTCTGGGAAATCCTTGTTGATGCCCAATTTGCATTTGGTGCCATAGTCTTGAGGGGATGCACACGTCCCAAGAATTCGCATAGATGTGAGATGATGCGAGTGACGGGCACCCCATACTCATCATGCAGACCCCGTTGGAGAATGGCCGATACGTGGAGCAGAGCCCGCGAGATAACAACAATAAGTATCATAAGTCTAAGTATAATGAGCTCAGAGGTAGTTTGTCCACGTTATGCTAATTTTTGAGCGCAAGCCGGCAACACCAAAACATGTCTCTATCCTTTAGGAGAGTTGTTGGGCCGGCAGCATGAATCTCTCAGCTCATGGGACACTCAAGGAGTCAGGTCCAACCGGTCCAACGAACTCATCAAATCAAAACAGTCCTTGCTCTTTCCTCTGCAAGTATGTCATTGTAGATTCCCATCTTCATCACACAAGGAATCTGCAAGCTTCTGGTTTCTTCGCATTCCACTAGCACAAACAAGTCTATTAAACGCCGCGTCCCGATTCTGGGCCCCCCACACGTCCGAAAGACAAAGCTAAGGCTCCACGCAGAGTAGAGCACGATCTCTCCAATCAATGCATAATCCGGCACCATCATGGCCTCGATTGTCGATCCCTCCGGTCCCTCCGATCCCTCCGATCCCTCCGCGGTGTCGTTTTGATGCCCCGGTGTCGGTGACCATCACAAGGCTCGAGGCTCGGACGCAAGGGCGGAACAAGGCCTGGCGGTGAGTTCGAAGTTCAAGAGAGGAACTTGTTATGGACTTAGAGCACTGCGAGTTCACTTGTGGAGCTCATTGTGGATGGATACTATTAACTTAGAGTGATTTGACCAAGTGAGTATCCACTCGGTGACCCGCAAAGTTCTGTTCTGAATCCTTTGATGTGGATAGAAGGGATGCACCTAGTGGGTCCTATAGTGGGTCCCAATAAGTAAATAGACCAGGGGATGAGCCAAGGTCCTCGGATCCTGAGGACCTTTCAAGTTCCGTCCTTCAGGTTGTCCGGCAGCTCAGAGCGGCCAGCATAGCCAGGGTTCCTGGTCGTAGATGAAAGAGTTAATGGAAAGCACGACATCATCTGCTGTCATCGGGTCGACTGACAATCTGTCATTCATCTGCAACACGTTACACGTCATATCATGTTATATCCAATTGATACCTTTGCAAACTGCATCTTCCTGTCAGACAGCCGTCCTCTACGTCGCATCTTTTCACAAAGGCGGAAGAAAACCGACGAGAATTCCGACGTGTTTTGTTTTTTCCCGGACAGATCCAACTCTCCAAGAGATCCGACATGGTGATGTTGACCGCGCAGGTGGGGATCAACTCCAACTCGGTCTCTTCAAAGATGAAGCGGCGCTGGCAGAAGTCGTCAGACGAGTCGTGTCAAGAGGAACGCGTAAGCGCACGACTCCCCTTCGGAACAGAGGGGTAGGCGTTTTCTTCCATATAGGTTAGGCGTTTTCATGGTTTGGTTCCAAGAAGACGCGTACAAGACATATCAACAATCAAATATATAACTATATAGTCAAATCAACCGAACTTTGTGTCAAACAATTTCCCAAGCACTGGTTGGCCCCAATCGAGAATGCTACAATGGCCAATCTCCTGATACAACCGGTGGATGTGGTGTGTAGCTGATCAAAGCCGCTCGACTTCTTGTGCTTCCCTTCTCCGGGCCTTCTTCATCCGAATCGCCTCTTGGATGCATGCCACCTGGCGCGACTCTCGCACCCATGTCAGGGTGGAGCTGGATGTAGCTTCAAGTGGGTCGCTTCATGTCGCTTCTTTCGATCTCAGCTGCAGGTGTTTCATCATGTGTTCCATGTTTGCTGCGCATGTCACATCCTCACGCACCCAAGCTCTATAGACCTGTTGTGCAATCACGGACAAGACTTCCAAGTCGATTCGGTTGAACCTGGGAGAACAAGCGACCCTCCAACCATTGCAGAAGTGAAGTGGGCTCGCAAATTCCCCATGGGGAAATGAATCAAAACGGCACATACCACCATAAATGGTTTGAGTAAGATACCTCAGCCGGGCAAATGAAACCCCCTGCTTGTAGAAGGCAGTCTTCTTGGGTTGGGCTCATGGGCTGCGTTGCCCTGAAGGAATTCAATGAGACCTGGGCATCTGATCTGGGGCCTTGGGGGCTGCGCTGCTAAGTTAGGCGATCTATAGGGTTGTACCAATCACAGGTCTTGTAGAAGCAGAACTGCAGAACTATCTCGCAAAGGTGCATCCTTTCCTCGCATGTCCCAAGAATCATGGTGAATCACATCAATGGCACACCCGAGCCCCGTGCTCATCGAAGCAGCACCATGCCCCAGACGAAGCCAAACCTGTTTGAGACAGCGATCGAGGGGAAGAAACCTATGGCGGCGTTACGAGCCAAAGATAGTCAAAGTTTCCTAAGTCTACATCCTCCAATGCTATTCATGTGTCTTAAATTCTTAAGATCAAACATGATCTCATAAAATCCAACCTGAATCTTACGATATCTTACGTATTGTCTTCCAATATCAGTGTCATGGCCAGCTCGTGGCCTTTGAAGAATTTGCCCATGGCCAAGTAATCCAGGCCATCGGAGCAGTTGAAGACCACCTAAACGAGACACGCAGGCCAAATCATAAATTTACACGAAACATATGTCACTGACTGGCAACCCGAAAGGTGTCCAAACACAGCACCCGAAAAAGAAAAGAATCCCTGTGGCTGGGCGATTCTGGCACGCCTACTACGCAAACGTCCCCCCCGAAAAAGAAAAGTGGGGATGAGTTCTGCAAACCCATCTTGAGCAGCTCCCGACTCTCTTCGGTGCGAAGCGTTTCATTATGAAAAACTCAAATTTGCAGCTGAGAGACGCATTGAACCGACATGGCCTTGGCCAAGTCCTGGTACATTGGTAGATGACATGCTTTACTGATTGCCGAGCATGGTCAAAAGCTTTCCTTCTGCAAGGGCATGGCGGCGTGGCTTGACAGCACTAAAGGGAAGATGACAAAAATGAGTCGTCTGTGCTGAATTCATTGTCATATACTGTATCGTCATTAGCAGCTTGGAATGGATGTGAGCCATCAACAAGTGGCTCCGAATGGCTCTGGACACTGGACGAAACCCATTGCATCTCATGGGTTTTGACATAGTATATAGTTTGAATATAGTTTGACCCAAGACTCACCCAGTCTATCTCATTGGTTGCTTCATGTTGGGGCATGCGAGAAAAAACTACCTCGGTCCTTGGTGGACTCGGTCTTGCCTGTGCCTTGGGGTAGCACGGTTGGCCACGAAGAGTCACCCCGTCGCCGGTGTAGCACGGTTGGAGTCGTTGAACCCGGACTAAGTGGGCTTGGTGTGTCCATCTAATTTGACGATCAAACAGTGGATGCTGTGATGCATCGTGGGTTTCTTAGAGTATGTCACAACAATTTGGAGTTGAGATCGCAAACGGCGTGACAGTCCCGTGACATGGGACTCCGACCAGTAGTATGTATATAATATATATATAGATATCTAGATAAATTGAGAAATTACCCGCAGCCTAGCCTCGAGAGAGGCATCTCCGCCTAATTACATGGGAAGGTGGTGGGTTTGCTCACAGGGATAACGTGGTCCATCATCATTCTTCAATGTCCAAAGGACAACAAAAAGCCTTAGCTAGACAGAACTTGAGAGAAAAAAAACATCCTGGCTGTCCTGCATATGGTTGTGTGATAAGGTCCTAAAGGAGCCTCAGCCGATCCACAAGTCACCGATAATTAGTCACAAGTCCAAGATGTTTCGCTTTGCCATCTAATTTGAAGAGGCCGAACCGAAGCGCTGGGTCATATAAAAGTCATATAACCAATAACTCTACTACCGACCGGTGACTTAGGACTTGTGTGGGCCAGTGACATAGTCGTTGTGGCCCACTACTCCTAAGTCACTAGTCCTAGATCACTATATAGATCTATATGGTGATATTAAAGTCTGTTCTTTGTTGATGCGACCCCAGGGACTCCCAGGGACTCCCAGGTCTACGTTCTCCCCTGGGACCCCCGGACCGGCGGGTCCCTCGGGTGCTCCGCCGTAGAAGAGGTGGAAGGCTCCCATGAGGGTCCGGTAGCACCTGGAAGAGGTGAGAATCAGTAGGCCATGTTTGGATATATAGGTGGACCTAGGTGGACAGCTGGGTGGCTGGAAATCGTGCAAGCACGAGCAGATTGCTTCGTGGCTTCTTTTTGGGGACGGGGGTGGTTGTTGAAGTGTATACATATATTCTTTAAAAACATGTTTTTGTTTACAAATTGATTAAGGAAAGATACATTCAAAAAAACAAAAGAAAACTATTATTTGTACCCTCCGTCTGCAGTCCTGCGGTCCTGCCTGTCCGTCAGTGGCGTGACCACCAGCCGATCACTGTTGCCCAAGTACTCAAAGCCGTAGAGGAGAGTGGCCTTGGCACTCCCAGAGCCCAAAGCAAAATTCTATGGCTGAGCCCGGCTGTGTCAGACTGGATCTTCCAAACAAAGACGTTCCATCGCCATCGGTTGCCCGGCTTGGGCGTGCTTTGCAAGATTCATTGAAGAAGTGATTCTCTTGGATCATGAGAGGCTTGGATCTGTCAATATCGATGGATTCGCCGAACTACCTGGACTATGCCAATCCATGCCAATCCCAAAAGGTCAAATACAGAAGTGATTGTGGCTTTCATGCGATGCTCCAGGCCGAAAATCATGCTCCGGTGTCTGTCCGGTGCGCCAAGAACTTGTCAAACAAACCAACAAGTCCAGTTCGTTATGCTGAGCTCATGACATTGATGATGGACACTTGACAGTTGTCGGTCGTGCTGGGCCTCAAGACATGAGAGTCTTCGTCACCGGAGAGCTGGCAAGAACCACTCTGGAATCCTGCTTGGAGTCTACCTGTTGGATCGCCTGAAGCCCTGAAAAGTTGACTCTGAGGCCACAGCTTTTGCGTCTCGTACATGATGATGGATCCGGTTGGGGCCTCAAGTAGTTTGCATCACTGCAAGCTGAAGATGTAGACCATAACCCTAGCTCGAATCTCCAAAAACTCGGGTTTTCTTATAATATGCAAAATGTTCTCTACTGAAATCATTTGGTGTGCCCCCCCAAAACGCCACTGCACGCCGTGTTCACATGAATCGGCCCTCCCGCATTCTCGCTCCCAAACTTGGCTCTCCACCCAGTAGTAGCGGAGTTGTGCCATCCAATCAAAGTCCTGTCTTTGACATCATACATCAAGAATCAAGTATTGAGAACAAGACTAACATCAAAAAATAGCACAGTCCTTTCTTGTGTAGGATTAATTGAGTTCCAGATAGTTCCAATATGTTCCAATGTCTCAATTCAGAATGACACGACAACCCTACACTGGACACCCATACCTACACAAAGGTAATTATGACTTATGATAATGTCTATGCCATCTATAATGCTTGACTCCATGTTCCCATTGCGTACATGGGTCCAATCAAGAAAATTTTGCGAACACCATGCTGTCCTTCGCAGAGCTGATCTTGGCATCACGCAAACTGCCCACCACGTCCCGATTGTGCACATCGATCGTGACCATGGCCTCGTTCCAAGATCTATGGCATCCATATAGACCCCAATAGAAAAGCAAAAATATCAAAAATTGCTGTATTGGAAACTGTTCCTATCGATTTGGGGACCACTATGATGGTCTATGGGTGTCTGCCTGGTCTGGGTGTCTGCCGCACCAAGAAGAGCGCCCGGAAAACATCGACCACGCAGGCTATCATGGACTACCCTCCCATTCACACCATCATGCAAAAAAAACATCAGAATAGCGATGGCCTCCAACCAACTAGCTTCTTGCTACTAGTAGCTTCTTGTTGCTATATAACAGGAATGGCCTCCACACAAAACATGGTTCTCGTGCAAAGTGCCCTTTGACACAATGGTATGCTCTGAAGAGGGCGAGCGCCGTACTTCCTCTTTGACACAATGCACATCAATATACTATATTAAATACGCAACTGCTGTTGATCACTGTTGTCTTCCCAGATCGGAGGATGGAAAAGTCTGGTCGGAGAATGAGGATGAACAAGGGCGCCTAGTCGCCCTTGCTTGGGGGGTAGGTTGCCCATGGTGTTTTGCCCATGGGAGGCCAGAGTTTCTGGTTAAACCTAGCCAGTTTGGAAGACGCGCCCTATCACATCATTCCAACCACTTTTATCACTAGACCCAGCACTGTGTCAGCTCCGAGACTTAGGCCCAAGGTGCTGTGAGCGTTCGGCGTGCCAATTTGGAGAGCTCTCCACGCACCAATTCCACCAGATCGTGCAACTGAGATGCGCAGACCTGGCGGGCGCACCACTCCCCGAAGCCGAAACCCGTGGCCTGACCGGTGCGGCTGAACCGAATGGCCCGGATCTTGTAAGATGGCCCTGGTCTGTCAAGCGGGGCCATCAGATGGGTCGATATGCAGAAGCTCCTCATGGGTCTACTTCACGCACCTGATTACCATGCGCCCTGCAGGGCCATCGGATCGTGGGCCTTCTAAACTGGCCCAGGGGATTGCTGAATAATGTGGTCCGTTTTGAAGGTGGTCTAGATCCGTTTTTAGGGACTGGGCCGGAGGTGGAAGGTTAAGACATATTAAGATGCACAGATCATTTATCAGAGTGCCACGGAAGCGACATGTCGATATCTCTTTCCGACAATCCGACGCGCGTCCGCAAAAGCTTCTTTGTGTGGCAGCATTCCCCAGGTCGAAGGTGTGTGGCTGTTCTTTTCGGTTGACCAACGCGAGAACCAAAGCATTAATTACTTTCACATTGGCCTGCTTGGGATTGCCATAAGCACAGTTGCACTAGAAGCTCTGCAGTACTGCGTTGTCGTCCGTGTCAAAAACATAGAGGTCAAAGGAGTGACTGTAAAGGAGAGACCAGTTGTTTGGACACCGAGAAAAAGCAATCTGAATTGCTCCCTCTCCCCTCTCGTTGATCTGCGACCCATGAACACGTTGGACCCACCTGGTAGTAGTCTTCAAGCTTGCCCTTCTCAATGGCTTCAGCCACTTCTTGAGTCCAGTAGATGTTGTCCACCTCGACATTGTGCCCATCGCTAAGGCCAAGACATTTTGCCCACCCAGTTGACGGTGGTTCACACATGTGTTCTACACTTGAACCCCCCCAGGCCCAAAGAAAACACCAATGAATCATGACTCATGGATTTTCTTCAAAGCAAAGTCAGCACCATCCGAGACAAGGTGGACACAATGACCCTCCAAATGTTCAATTGGGGTCCGTGATGTTTCCATTTTGATGGATTGGGAAAATCTGCGGGACACTGGCTTCACCCCCAAAACTGAGTTTCCTGTAGATGTTCCCCATGAAAATCCCCATTCACCCATTCCTCTAACATCTGAAGCCCACTAGGCCGCAAGATCATGCCTGCTTTGCGCTCAGCGTTGACCGAGGCCCCAGCAGCGATGACCACCTGCCCTGGCCACTCCAGGACCCACTGGCCACGGGAGGTCTCCGCGTAGGCGCGCACGGAATCGCCCATGATCTGGCGAGATCGAGGGAACTTCGACTCTTTTCTTTGTAAAGAGACATCTGCGTTCTTCATACTATATATCTGAAAAAGAAACTACTGTATATGATATTGTATATACTATATGCAAGTATCATGCTGGAATCCTGTATCACTAGATCAGACCTTGGAAACGGTTCTTCAATATAATCATCGAAGCATGACACGGATTGATCGACCTGGAATCCAATGACTTGGAACCAACTACTTGAAAATGCTCCTTGGTTGTAATGGCTCAATCTACTTTAAAGCCTGCTAGAGCTGCTAGAGTCAGTTCTTCAAAACGTTCATGGAGCACTCCGAAGCAATTTGCTGCTATGCTTTGGCTCCTCAATCAGTTATATACTTGGACTAATTTGGAAGAAAGGCCTTTGTGGAGACAGCTTTCTCGGACAGGCTTTCTGAACTTTAGACCATGGGCTGGGACCCGCAGGGCGACTGTCCGGACCTGCTTCCTCCAAATATGGTTCCTTGATGCAAAATGCTATCCATAAAGTGTATTAAAGTGTGAAGGTGGTGAAGTAAAGCCTCCTGTCTCACAAATGAGAGAGGTTCTATATGGATCAATTGTGGGGTTTTCAAGGCGATGCACAGGATCGCTCAAAATGAGCAAGGTGAGTGGAACGTGCGCTGTGTGGCTCTGATCAAAAAAGATTGAGATGTCCCCCCTCTGTCTGCCCCCTCCCTGCGGAGAAACAAATGAACGCCCCGGCTTATCTATCATTAATCTTGAAATCCACCACCTCCGTGGAACTGGATTGATGCCCTACCAGGTGCGGGCAACATCTTCCTGTTTGGCAACGTCTTACGCGTCAGAATTGGTCTACGCAGCGTACCCAGAAACCACGATTGCCTTGGTCAAGGTCTTGATCATGGAGTCTTGTACTTCCAAGAGCCATCGCTCGACGTTGCCTTTCTTGTCGCCTTCGTTCACGTTCACCTGCCGCACCGAAGCCATCGGTTGACGGTCTAAGAGAGACATCTGCACGGACTGCATGCCCAAGAGCACATCCAATAGCAAGAAAGGTCAAACGTATCGAACATAACACCTAAATCCTACATCGGTCTAAATCCAAAGAACTCCAGTGTATTGGGATTCGATTCCTTTTGGCATCTTTTGGCTATCGCGGCTATCTTAAATCGTCTTAGATTCCTGTGAGCCTCTGAGTGTCTTGGATTCGCCCATGCCATCACTCTGGATTCGCAACACCCACCGCCCACCCTTCACAGTTCACAGCGCCTGATGCACGAGCTCGACCACTTCGCCTTCCACCGAGAGCATGGCCTCGATGATCTCATCGTTTTGATCGAAGCGCACCTTGTTGATGCCTGGCACGGCGGCTTTGCACCCAGTGATGTCTTGCGACCTCGTGGTGTTAAAAACATTTAAGATTTAAAAACAACAAAGAGAAGAGGAGAATGAGATGAATGGCCAGGATCGCTGAGAAAAAAGAGCAAAAATACCGATGGAAAACGCGTTCAACTCCGCAAGGCGGAGGTGAAGACGCCCCGGTGCCCACATGCAACAAATGCCTTCCCAACTCTCGCTGTTTTTGATGAAACCTCTTATAAAAGCTTGTGAATTGAATTTAATATCTCTTGTCACATCCTGATGCGACCTCCTCCTCCTCAGCCAGATCGTGCCTTCGAAGCACTTCCCCATGTGTGGCTGCACGGCCGTTGGGTCCTGGCGTGCCGAACAGTCGGCCGGACACTCCTCATTTTCTTCTTCCGAAAGTGGGAAACAACTCCAGAACTAAATTGAAATTGCCGAAAGCTTGAGGATGGGCTGAATTGGACTACTTTTGGTCACACCTCCGAGGCAGGTTAGTTTGCGAGTGGTTTGATAGAGCTGAGGCATCTGACTAGAGAGGACAAGGGTTTGCTACATCATGATGGATTCCATGGGTGGATCGTTGCCCAGTCCTCGCTCCTTCCGAACGGATGGTTTTCATCTCATCTCTGCTTTCAATCGGCACCCAGAGGGGTCAGTTGGATGTCGATTCTCTTCCAAAACCATGTAGCAAACATTCCAACATGTGGTGTTCTGCTCTCCGGCCTTTGTCTGCGACAAAATCATCAACAGCTCATCATTCGACCTCAAAAGCGGACGCACACACACGCACACATCCAAAATGTTCAATCTGCCCCAAGTGCCAAGTGCTCACCTCGTCTTCTTCCGCCTTTCCACACGAATAGTGAGATGAATGTCATGCTTTGCAAACGATCAACTCTGCCCCGCACACGCACACGCACAAACACCCTAAGCACACACTCTGACATTGGCTAAGAGGCAAGAAGAAGAAGCGCGGGAATGCCAAGCGCTTGGTTTCCAAATAGTCGTTGAGACACTTCTGAATCTGATCCAACCTCAATTCGGCGCTTGCCCGGCCCTGAAACACTGCGTAACAGTTTAACACTGGCTTCGATCTCTTGAGCTCTCAAGAGAAAGCAATCCAATCATATCCAATCCATTTCTACCAAATCCTCTCCTTCCCGACTCCCCACATTTCCTTTCTGGCGCACTTCTTGTTGGCGTCTGAGAAGTGCAGTAGGAGGTTCTCGATCTCCGAGACGTCCAGGACCTCTCCGGGGGTCCTACTAGCCGTTTGAAGTTCGGCACAAGAAGAGAAGGGGGCTGCCCCCTTCTTGATCATTCGGATATATTAGAATCTAGTGGATTGATTGAAATGCTTATAAGGGGTTCGACACCCTCCCCGTTCTTCAAGAACCTTGCTTCAAGATGTGATTGTCTGTTGCGATGGCCATATTTGAAGGGAAGCTCCATGGCTGGAGAGCACTCCTGCCCAGTGTTTTGAGGGAGGTAGTGTTTGGACTTCCGCTGATGAGAGCCTCCCCTGAAATGATGGTCAAAACTCATTGTGCCCAACTGCCGAACTTCTTGAGATACTCTCAAAGTCCATGAGAGTCCCAAAACATGCACCCGTCTGGCGAAACAATATTTGATCATTGCAATGACCTGCTCCAATCAGTGAGGCTATGTCCCCGGCCAAGGGGTTCTCATCGACCGAATTCATTGTGTCACGCCACAACCTCAGTCGGTGCATATGATCATATTTCCCTGGAAGCTTTCGAGCCACTGCCAGGGTATGTAGATATGAAGATATGAACAAATATGAACGGATGTGACATGCATGTCACTATGTCCATCTAATGTATCTCCAGCTGTAGGGCTGGCCAAGGTGGGGGGCTTCAACAGTCCAAGTATGTGGAGACGACTCAGAGTGTGTCTTTGGAATCTCCTCCTTTGGTTCCACTGGGCAAAACATGTCACCAACCTCCAGCGAGCTCTGGCGTTGCCATGTGCCCGACTATGGAGTTGCCTCATAAGACTCATAAGTATATTGTGTACATATGACATCATGTACAAATATTCGTATATGTCCGTGCACGTTTGCGCCAGCAGTTCCAAAGGAATGGTCTTCTGTCCATCCAGTGAGTGGATCATGGGCACCCCTCCCTCCAAGAGCCCTTCCTTTCGATCTCCTGGTATTTTTCTAATCACCTGGATGACCTCATGGGCTCGGCAGTCACTAGACATGCCCGGTGCATCCTGAGGTCTCTGCTTGTCCACGGCCTGGAACTTCTTGGCTTCGTCAGGCATCTGGCGGACCTGAGGCAGACGGTCACTGGACCGAGTCCCGTCGAGTCGGAGAAGTGGTTCACAGACTCGTGGCCTAGAAGGCCTAGAAAAAGTCCTTCCTCCAGGCATGGGCACGTGTCTACAGGAGTGTGCTCGCAAGACGCTTCCCCAAAAAATATGCCTGTGCCACTGCATGTGCCACCAGGTGCTTCTTGCCACACCTCCCAAGCTCCTTCCTCGTTCTTCTGGCCGGGGGGCGATATCCTCGGAGCTGAAGATCGGCTCCAGGTAGAGCCAGGTCCTGTTTCAGCGCGCGAGGTCTGAGACCGTACCAATGGGGGGGAAAAGCGAAGGGTCGATTATGGTGCCATGTATATATATATATATATGATGTAGTGGTTGTTCACTGCATGGCGGGCATCCCTTCTATAAATCAACCACTAGAAAAAAAGGATGTAACAAGGCCATCCATGGGCCAGACAAAGGATCCGGCCCTAGGTCGCCCCAAGCGGAACGGAGGAGCTTTCTTTGGGGGGCTCTGGCGGGCTTCAGCCCCCAGTGGGGCCATCGCGCTCCGTGGATATTTCGCTGAATCGATGGGAGAGGTTGATACTGTAGCTACCAGGGCCATCCAAGGGGTGTCCAATGGACTACCCCACACTACCTATAGGCTTCCAGACAGGGCACCCCTTGCTAGAGATTTCGGATGCTGTCCCAGAGCCCAAACTCGATCCCATGACCGTCATTTAAGACATACCCTGCTAGCCAACGTCGCCACCTTCACACCCCCATGTGTGACTTCCATATTGATTTACCCATCTATGACTTCAAAATGTCACATTGATCTTCGCAAACGTCTTCGATGAAGAACCATAAAGAACCACTCACGACCGTCTCGGTTCCGATGCCCACGAGGGCACCACCGATGCCCACCACTCCTCTGCACCATCAGCCACTGCTCCAGCAGATCCTGCATACCCCATGACCCCAAAAGCCGCACAAAAACAGAGGTCATCCCAGCAAGTCCATTGCCCATTACAGTAATTATATACACCTGTCAGGTGCTTGGCTTCAAGCCTGGTTCGGCTGTATTTCAGTGCGTCGCTGGAAATTCCCCCACATATCCATCCGAATGGATAAGAACGTGCCTCAAGCATCCTCAAGCCAGCGAAACGACCCGACAAATCTGACGCAAAACGCTTCACTCAACAAGCGATACGATGTCTTTTGGAAGGCCGCGCCACACATTCAGCGGGTCTCCTGAATGTAAATAAGCTTGGCCTCCCAGTCCTGCAGCGGCAGAGCACCAAAACCACCACCTGCCCTGAACAGTCTTTCTAGCTGATTTTCGTGCTCGGCTTCAAGCTGGCGAGCATCTGAAACTCATAAGGGTGCATGTATAGCTCTGCCTTTTCCCATACGCAAGACTGAGAATCACAACTTCCATCATGTCACACGGCGCTTCAATGAGGCAGGATCATCAAAAGGAGGGGCCCCTCCCTCTGGTAGCGGATCTATCATGTCAGAGGTAGTTGGAAAATGTTGAAGACATTGGCCCTCATTGCTATGTATCAGTTCGCATCTTTTTGGCAAAAGAGAAGCTATATATATATATTATATTCTTTTAAAGAAATGTGTTGATATGTTTCCGTTGATGGACGGTTGAACCCCCACAGTAGCATTCCACCCATGAGAAAGGGACGGTTCAGGATGGATTTGGCCTCAAAAAGTCCGACTCAGTTCCCACCAGGGTGTCTATGACCTACCCTTGACTGTCTACTCACCAGTCTTTATTCTTGATATCTGTACATCCCGGGGCCCATGCACCGCCAAACCGGTCTGCTCACACTCTATCTCCGGTGTGGCCTTCACCTCCTTCTCGATGGGCTTCACGAAGGGTGAGCCTCGAACTGCCTGAAACCACCGACCATGCGAGATGGGGCAAGGCACACGTGTCTCATGACATGAATGATGATGTCATGTGGAGTCATCCACAAGGAGTCATCCCTCCTCTCCTTTAACGACATGTATTAAATCTATCCTATCTATCTATCTGTCTATATGTGTGTATATGTTTATATTCGTCAACGGGTCTACGGAAAGAATACTGGAGGGTTAGTAATGGTTATATAGTATCAGTATGGGTTCGTTGGCACTGGGGAGAAGAGGATTGTGGGTAGAAGATAGGGTCAACTGAACTTCTTTTGGCACAAGGAACACTTGAAGCAACATTTGTGAGAGCCTATATAAGGTCGAATAAAAAAAACACTGAGAAAGTCATTGCAAATCGATATCACGCGTCTTGACCGGGGGAGAATCAAGTGGGGAGGAAGTCTCTGGCCTACTACAGGGTCTGTCCTGGCTGGGACTTCTTTGGCTGGACCCCTTGGATGGTCCAGGCTGCCTGTGTCTTGATGATGTGATCATCCAGCAGTGCTTGGACGTCATCAGCTCCTCACGTGAAACACGCGAGGAAACACGAGAGACGCACCATGGACGCCCAAGTGGGGTCAAACACATTTTCCCCGCCATCAGTGTTCTTTTTAGGAATAGTAGTGTCAATATTGTATGTATATATGCATAAATGAATGCAATTGATGGCTTCTTGGAACGTTTTGGGACACCAAGTCGGGCCGGGCTCATTGGAAGTCCAACTCCAAAACCAGAATTCGAACAGTTTTGAAGGTGTTGGGGCCTCACTATGCAAAAACAGGTCTTATGTGTGCACGGCCCTATTCATCGCCACCGGGTATCACCAGGCAGCACTCTGAGCACAACTCACTTTTAGGCTTCCACAACGGGCAGCTTCACCTCCGTACCCAGTAGCATTCTCGGATCTACGTGGGGTTCGGATTTGCTGTGCAGGTCTTTTTAGGTTTGAGACTTTTTGGATTTACTGCTGGGCAGTGCACTGGGCAGGGTCCAATTTTTCTAAAGTGTTGCAATACTTTGGGCACGGAAGCGCCCAACGTATTGCAGCTCATTTCTGGCGCTTTGGAACAGAAACCTTCGATGTCCCGTCTCTGCCAGCGATTCTGATTTAAAAAAAACTTTTAAAAAAAAAACATAAAACATTTGATAAAACCCAGAATGATCCTTGGTAGGATGGGATAGGTAGGCGCAGGTGGGTCTGGTAATTAGATTTCATTGGGCTTCATTAGGTGCCACGCGCATTCGGTTTCACAGGGCCTCCTGGCCCCGCCCCCCGGGCCTTTCAGCAAGAAGGTGCCCGTGTTCTTGTAGGGCAGTGTGCCGAACCTCAAACGTCACAGATCGATATGATTGGCCAAGCTATGGCAGTGACACCTTTGTCTCATCCACGTCACATCTCCAGCGCTCTCTCTCTCTCTCTTTTCAGGTCTGATTTTTTGGATACTCGGATACACTCCAGCTCACTAGCTTGGATAGTCGGCAAGGCCATGGTCCTTTACAAAGGGTGTTTTTCGCGTTCGTTCTTCCGGGTATACTGCAAGGCCATGGTCCCGGAAGTGTTCCGGACAAATGGTTCCAAGACGCTTTCATGGCCGACACGACGGCAGCAGTATGGCCTCAGGCCCCGACGCCATGGCTTTCCATTCGTTCTTCATGGTCTGCAGGGCCACCTCCACAGCAGCTGGGCCACTAGCAAGAACGGCTCAGCATGGACAAATCCCACCCTGAGGTCAGTAGCCCAAACGGGTGTTCTTTCAATGGTCTGAATTCACTTCCCCAATCACGCGGGGAGACCCAATCACGTTCCCCAGCTCGAGTCTGTCCTTCCGATCCTGCCCCCCGGTCCAGGGCAACCCTGGGGCCACGGGTTGTCACCGATGGCCATGGCCCTCTGACTCCTTCCACGACCATCGCCGAGGCCCACCTTCAAGCCATGCTGCTTCTGTGCAGAGGTGCTGATGGCCTCCACCTGCCCACGGGGGTCTCTCTCTGAGAGATGCTCAGCTCTCAGAGGCCATTCTACACCTCAGCCTCTTGGAAGATCCAAATTATAGGATAGTGAAACTATGGACCAACGGGCGCTTGAAGCATGCTTCAATTCAAATTCACTGGTGAGGTTCCACCTCTCGCCAGGGTAGACACACGTGGCTCGTTTCAGCCGGTGCCTTCTCCACATGGTCCAGCATACCAGCCTCCAGGCACCTACGGTCGTTCAAGTTGCGTGGTTCAAGGCACGCGCCGCGACTGGGGATTTCTCATCATTCTCTGTGAAAGATCGGTCTGGGAAGGGCACATGGTCAAGGTCAGGCCATCCTCCATGTCGATGTCGACATCCATGTCCTGTGCGACAAAGGCAAAAACAACCCAAGGGTGAAGAAGGGGAGGGACATGTTTGAACCTACTAGAACCACCTCAAACGAACCTCTGATGAGCAAACATACCTCTGGTCTATCTGTCTCCATCATTCACTCAGTCTTCCAATTCCAAAATCCACTATAGACACCTACAGTATATAGACTATACTTCCTACACCTTCCACAATACAGTCCGGCATGGAACCAATCCCAAATGGTGGTTTCTACAGACCTTTGCCACTCCTTGGAGCTGCGCCTTCCTCTCCTAAACCGATTCGTCGTTCTTCTCGGTCGACCCACGGCACTCGCGTCATACTGTCGACCCGTCTCGTTGGTCACGTCACGGACGGCGTCCTCGAAGAGCTGCAGCAAATGCGAGGTTTTGATCGCAGGTTGGCACAGGCCCTGAGAGGCCATGGGAACCAACGGGATGATCCGATGATGATGTGACATGCTTTGGGTGTGCATGGTGTTCTCCTGAACTTCTGCATTGTAGCATTGTAGGGCTCCAACAAATCGAAAGAAGGACCCGGCAACCCTAAAAAGGCGACTAGCCACACGGATCCACACTCCCAAAACCACCTAAAAAAACAGGTCCAGCATGGCTCCCTCCCTCTGGCGCCCTCCCAGAATGGCGCTTGCTGCGCTTGCCACATGCGCCTGAATGATGGGCATGTTCTTCTTAAAGGCTTGGACGGCGCTCCGAAGCTCCTGCGCCACCTTCTGGGGGTTCGGAGACCCTTCGAAGGACTTGAAGGCCTTGTAGGAGTCCTGCGCCGAGTCACCATCTTCGGACGCACGGTCGTGCGTGCTGACGGCCTCTGGATGTAGGGCTGGATGTGAGGAATGAGGGTGGCTGGAGGCAAAAGGAATCTTTGTTGGGGGCGAAACTTCCCTCATTCCCAACGAGAAGCACCAGTCAGTTTTTGGCAGTCCAAGAGTTGGGGAAATCTCCAAAGCCAAAAGAGAATGCATGCCACACCAGAGTGTTCCACACCAGAAAATCCCTGATCTGTTTGATTTGAACTGTTCGACTGGTCCTCCGATGTCGGCACTGCAAAGTCCGGTGACGGCGGGTGCCGGGCGCTCCTTGTAGTTGTCGTCCACCGCCTGTTCAACCTCCACGGCTGACAGGTTCGCCAACTTCCCCGTGAGCCACTCCTCTTCGCACCTGGCCGATCGGCAGGCGATGGCAGGCGCAAGGGGAAGGTGTCGTCCGGTGTCACTGAGGCCCCGATTTCGGGGCGTGGCGAATGGACACCCCTCGTTCATCTCTTTTCGGGGCTTGAAAGTCCTGGACACAAAGAAAAAGAATCATGTCCAGTTTGCCTAGGTTATTGAACACGCGATGCCTAAGTGTCCTGGTAGGTGGATCTCGTGATATCGTGGATATGTCCCATCTCGACTCCAGTCTCTGAGGTCTGGACCCATTGTAGTCAATGGCCATTGACCACAAGTCGAAGTAAGGCTTGTACTCGTCTTGCACCACCTACACATGCTCCGCACATGTGTAGTGGGGCTGGTCCATCCACAGTTGAATGCCAAAGATTTCGGGGAGATGCCCCACGACCCTGGCTTCGGGGGAGGTGAACTTCGTACCAAGTGTGGGTGCCGGCCAACCAACCAAGAAAACAATCAAACCAACCAAGCCGAACCGACAACCATTAAGCATCAACGAAGAACAAACACATTGGATGCTGCAGGCGCAAAAATGTGCGCCAACATTGCAGCGCCAATTGCTATGAACAATCGAGCTCTGAAAGTTTGGGCTAACCACCGAATTCCAATGCCTCTGGGATCAATTCAGATTGGGGTGTGGTTAAAGCACCACGATGCAAGCACCTTCAGCGAGGCTGAAATCCCAAGACGGTCTGCCAGCAAAGACTTGAATGTAGCTTTAAGTGTTGAGATGTGTCTCTAGTCCGAATTGACCATTATGTTCCAACTTCAACCCAAAAGAGGGCTCACGCGACAAGCTGCCCCACGCAATTCAATTCCCCAGCAAGGACCTCAAGCTCTGAATAATCCTTCTGATCAATCTGGAACAACTTCTCACGGTCAGAGAAGGACTTGACCTCATAGACTCAGACTGTGATCTCTTGGATCCCTACTGATTGTAGGAACCCAATCGAAATAGTGTCACTATCTAAGTCAAAGACAGCTCTGAAAGTTGAGAGGAATGAGTGCTCACACGTCACAAATTCATGCGGTCTAATATGTGTCGACATGGGTCAATCGGTCAATCCTTTTAAAAACAAACATAGATCTACTACTAGCTTCTTGTTACTAGTAGCGATGGCCTCCAACCTAATTACAGTGATAGCAATGGCTTCCAAACTACTAGCTTCTTGTTCCCACAGATCTTCAGGCGCCGCTGCAGCATATCAATCTCATCAATGACACCATCGGCCGCTCGGGCACCGGCGCGATCAGTCGCACGTACGAGGTTGTCCTCGCAGTGTGAGATCTGGCAACTGTGAGATGTCGCCTACAACATGTCCCAAAAAATGAGCCTCTCGCTTCCTCCCTTGAATCCAAGAGTTTGGAACTTGCTCCCTTCCTCACTAGGGATCAAAACGCTCCTCGCAACGCACGACCGGCGGAACGACTCGCTTCACGCTTCGGTCGGTCCACGCCGCGCTCCTGGAGGGTCTGAACGCGTTGCGCCACTTGCCCAGCCACGGCATAGGACTCCAAACTCTTCACCCATTCCAACTCCTCAAAAAGAGGAAACATGTTTTGTTTTTTCGGTTTTGGAAGGCAAAGGGGGGTGCGGTTTGAAGTAGCATGAAAATACTTGGATGCCCTGGGGCGAAAAAGGTGGCTAGAGGTTTGGAGATTTCAGGTGATTGTGACTGGGGCTGGATGACAGGCTTTGAAGTAGCGTGAAGTATTCCCTGCATGGGTAGCGGGTAGCTACAACAGCATTGGTTGAGACACACGAGATGCTCAGCGGTGTTCGCTCGGCGCTTGAGAAGCTCTGGCAGCAAATGCGAAGCCACTAAGGCATGGACTGCTTGGTATTTCTGGAAGTCCACCTGATATTCTTCCACTTCACGCGTCAGCTGTTCCTCAGCTTGGCGCATTAGCATAAACAATTCATCAAACATATAGAGGAGAGGCAGGATATGATATTGATATGAATGATACGTATGATTTGCCCGATGTTCCTTCTCTGGTGACTAGTCTTGCCAAGCCCCGAACTCGAAAACCAGAGAAGATTCACTTCCAGGATGGTTCCATCACATAAAGGGTGTCTTATCAATCAGCTGCATTGCTCGGTCAATGAGACCCACGACTCTCCATCCAATGTTTACCCAGGAAAAATGATCACAAAACCGAATGAAACAAGAAACGCCCTCGAAGTTTAGCTTAGCGGTTTCACGAATGTCAAAGGTGAAACCGAACTTTCGAAGGAAAGGGAGCAGTCCGGCCCACGACTTGGCCAGTCCATCTGGGGTCCCTGCCATGAAAGCAATCTTGTCCTTGTTGAGCTGTCGGTCTGCCCTGCGAAAGAACAGATGAGGTCACACTGCCCGGGGCAGGAGGGATGGTCGCACCCAAGATCCGGGGCGGCTCGGGGGTCTGAAACGGACCGACGGACTCCAGTTTCGCACACTCCAGTTGGCAAAATAAGCCAACGGCCACAATACCATCTGAGACTCTCAAATGGATAAAGCCTGATAACATCGATGACCCGCACATGAATTCACGACCATCACCACGATATCTCGCGTGCGCATGCCGGGTCGAACGCCCAAGTCTCTTGAAGTCTCTCTCTCTCTCTCTCTCTTTCTCTTCGTTGACGATCTTTAGCCAAGTAGATCGCAGTGGCCCGGGACTCCCAGGCCTCCATGCAACTATGGATATGTCACGTCATTATCTCATGGATTCCACGGCATTTTTGGGGCTCCTTTTTGGACCTTTTTCGGAATCTAGGGAATGCGTGCTCCATCTTGCTCCCACGAAGCCCCAGAACCAGGAGCTCCAAGCTCCATTCAAACGACGTTCTTCCAGGCTCCAGGCTCCATGACATCCATGTTGATCTGGAAGGGCCACTCAAACCTGGGGGGCGCTACACTGCTACGTGGTCTGGGACCGCATCAAAGGGGAAAACAACAACAACAACAACAACAACAACAACACCAACACCAACACCAACACCACCACCACCACCACCACCAGCGGCGGCGGCAGCGGCAGCGGCGGCGGCGGCAACAGGCAACAGGCAACAGGCAACAGGCAACAGGCAACAGGCAACAGCACAAACTATTGCAAACTGGTTTCCCCCAAAAAATGCGACGCCCTGGGTCCCTGGGTCATCTGATCTTCTGACGAGCTCACCAAAAACGGTCTATATAAGTCTTAAGTGCCCCATGGACATCTAAGCGCCCCTGCGAGCGAAAGGCTTTCTCCACGACTTCGCCCCCAATCTGAGGTCATTTGGACCAACCGGTCGCCGGCGTTGCGGCGGAGTCGGTGAAGCGAGATGTGAAGTGAGATGCAACAAATGCAACACGAAGAGGACAGAAAAAGAACTTGAAATATCACAGCTACAGAATGCTATAGAGCTATATTTACTCTATAATACTCTATCGAACGCCCAAGACCTGTGTTGTCATTGTGTCCTTTCTGTTATTCACGTGTGCTTATGTTATCTCACTGGGTGAGGCACATCGTGATTGAAATCTTCGACCATGTTCATTTGCTGATGCACCACCCGCGTGCGTTCCTGAGATTCGCTTGGCGGTGAAGGGATCACCCTCAATTAGGATTTGGATGGATTTGGAACATGGATGTTTTTTGCTTGGAGATAAGCAGCATCGAATGCAACGCTTGAAGTCAAAAGCACTTCAGGATCATGAGGGCATCGGGGATGAGCATGTTCACAAGAGGGTGAATGAAAACTGTTGGGGTCAGGCTCTTCCACGTGAGAAGAAGCCCGCTGGAGTTCTTGCCAGGGAGTTTTCACCCTTCACAGCTCACCAAGAGTCCATCAAGGGTTTCACCACCTTTTTCTGCACCACCTCCATGAACTCCCTCAAGTCGGCCTGGAGAACTCCACGTGTGATACACGCATGGAAAATTGGATGCTGGACACGTGTGGAACATGTAATGTAGGCATATATATAATCTAGATACCATATATAATATGTATATATATATGTGTGTGTGTGAGAGAGAGAAACATATGATACAGTATATATTATGTATCTATATGTATATATATCATACAACTATATCTATGTCTACATTCTGATGGCTCCATGGTCGTGGTCATGAACGATAAAATAAGAGCCGGAGGAACCCTGTGCGAGCCTGTCACAACTATGAAGCATCCAACATAAGACATACAGGGCAAAGCCTATGCTCTACCCTCCCGTCATAGCTGCAAACCCGACTCTCCCGGCATGTTCCCATACCAATCCACTTCCGTCTGAGGAGTCGCCCGGTCTCTTATCGTCTAACGACGGCTCGCACCATGTCTTTCTCCGACTCAGGGCTTGAAAGAATCCGCTTGTGGGTGGAGTCCTCGGCGAAGTGTGGCGGAGCGCCCCAAGCCACTTCCGAAACGCAAACTCTGAAGTCCAAACACTTCATGTTAAAGTTTACGTGAGGTCTGGTTGAAGTGGTAGTGTACATGGCATCCTTTGGCCTTTGGCAAATTCTGCGGCTCGGTCGGGACATGCCGTGTCTCAGGTTGTGGCCCATTCGTTGAGGATCTCATCCGCTCTTTCTTCGATGCACTGGCTGCATTGGCCTCAGAGCGCTGGGCAGCCATGGCACCTCCAAAGATTTGTTGAAGTCGGAATTCTCCAAAACCACCTGGGTGCCCCACCTGGAAAAGCAGGTTAAAAGTCGGAATTTCTTGCAATCCTCCAGGCCCAGGGCAAGCCCGTAGTAGGGTTGTACGTACAAGTTGACCTTCGGAGGTTGCAAGTTGCAAGTACGATCAAATACATTTGGCGTTAGGGAAAGCATGTGGTGATGCCGGAACTATGTGGGACAAGTCCGGGCACCTGGGGACTACCTTGGGGCCCTTCAGGTGGCCGCACCGCGCACCGGCGGAAGACTGACTTACTGAGGTCGGAACGAAGGCACTCCTGGGCCAGCTTCTCCGCCTCGGGGGCTGAATGCAATCAATCAACAGGAGATTAGTACTGCTTATGTAGCAGCTAGCAACTGCGTGCATTGACATACACAATCATAACCGCGGAAGGCGTAGGGCTTAACACAAAAGACATCAAGAAATAGAGAAAAGTACAACGTTTCAATCAGGGCTTGAAACGAAAAGCCACAAGCTGATGTTCCGACCCCGGAAGCCTCAAGATCCTCAAGACTACAATGCTTTTCTGGATTTTGGGTTTATAGAGTTTGGGTGGCAAACTCGCGCGACGAACACAAACCCACCATGATGGGATGTGGGAAGCATCTCCCGACCCAATCTGCTTCTCAGCTGGAAATGGAATGTCGTCGTTGGATGGCTATGGATGGCTGATGATGATGATGATGATGACGATGATGATGATGATGATGGTGTGCTCCTTGAAGAGGCAATGACTCGATCCAAAACTGACAAATCCAAGATCAGCCAGGCCTTTTCAGCCAACAAATTGGTCATCGAAGAGCATCGAAGCCGAAAGAGAGGGAAGTCCTCCACATGGCTACGACCACAGAATAGAAACAGAAACTGGTAGACTAGCTCTCACAAGGGAATTCATCTTCGACACCTGGCAGTTTCCATCTTTGTTTATATGACAGGTGTTGCATCCAAACCCACTGAGAAGAGACAAAAAGAATCAAAAGCACCAAAAAGTCCATGACGATGCCATGACAATGTCTCGTGCCTAAAGATTCAAGAAATCCCTTATAGTACCGTGATCTATGCAATGCCTCGATTTGATCGGCAAAAAAAGCGGGTCCACAAGGCTCTCGGACAGCACTTGCACTTCGTACTTTGCTTGTCTGTAGGCTTGAATGCCTGAGCTTGGGCAGCAGTCATTCCGAACAACCTGGATCGGCGGCCAAATAAGTGTCTCAGAATGTGATGAATGGGATGCCGGATAGCAACTCAAAATCTCAAATCAAAGTTGGCTGTTGGTGATATGTGGAATTCCGGGTGTCAAAAACACTTGATGGTACCTAGATGTACCTAGGACAAGCAGAAATCCGCCACCTTTTGACCGCTGAACTTGTGGCTGCGCAAGGCCCCGAACGTTCTCTGCACCCATCAATGTCAGTGGGGTCCAGATCTGGCGCATTCAGAGCCAGGCCGCGGCTTGCAGGGGTCAAAACTGGTCTGGAGTCTAAACTGTCTTGAGTCCAGACTAGACTAGAGTAACTAGGCACTGGTCTACATTGAACACCCTTAAGAGAAGCTGCAGTCCATGTGATGAGCCTAAGCACCTGGGTGAATGGGGATGTCTGTAGGCTGAAAAGGAACCATGTGCCGTTGTAGTGGAGTAGTGGAGGATAGTGAAGGCAAATAAAATGTTTCTTTGAGTATCTGGATCTGTCTGGATTCTGGATCCTCCAAGCATGCCACTGGTCGTCGCGTCAGCCACTTCTTGGCCATCTCTGTAGTGAGAAAGCACCCAGTATTGTACATGCATAGCTGCATAACATTACACAACTACGCAAAATGATCCAAAGCCTCATGCAAATTCCTGAGCGATATATGTCACTCATCTCATATGTCATAGGTGGCACCGGAATATCTAACTTCCCACACCTTCCACCTTTTCCTTCAGCAAGTAGGAATACTTCCGGAACCTCAGCGGTCACGCTCGGTCAAGTGTGGCACAGTGATGCAAATCAAAACCCCAACATCCATGGCTTGGCAGAACATCAGCACGATAGGGCCACACAACACCTGCCCGCCTCTGGGGAAAAGAAAGGCATTGAAAGCACTAGGAGCTGCACTGATTCAAGATCTGCTGTGGCCCCCGAGTGCATACGTCCACCACCTGCTGCGTGGTGACACACGCCATGGCCAGCCTCAGTGCCACTGGTGTTCGTTCCATGCGACGAGGAGGCCGAAGCTGGATTCAGTTCCATGTGAGTCATTCCCAAAGGACCCCATTTCAACTTGGGCGGGGCTCTATAGAATATCCAAGGATGAACATGTATATAGTATCCAATATGGTCAGCGTCCACGCCAGTCTCTTTGGCATCACACGTCTGTGACTTCTGTGGCATCCACCTCGTGTCTTTCGGTTAGGACATGGCAGGCCATCTGACGGCCGCCTAAGGCGGCCGTCTAAGCGGCTCTTTTGCTATGTACAGGGCGCTGGCATTTCCAAAATCGTTTGGTCGGCCGTGGAGGTGACGCCTTTCCCTCGCCACAATCCCAGGATTCTCCCGGGAAGCACCACCAAGGGAAGCACCGGAGCCTATGGGTTGCAGTTTCCCTAGCGTTGTGTTGGCGAGTCTCCCACTTGGAGACAAGCCATTGATTGTCCATCTGCCCACCCAGTGTATGAAGGAGCATCAACTCAACCAATAAACATGAATTTAGTACACAGTAATTGAGTGTTTTGCGAAAGTCTTGTGAACAGGCTTCCGTGGACAGGAGTGAGGTGAGAACCTACTGACACACACAACTCTTTGTCTTTGGACCTGCCGGCGCAGCTGCTGGCGCCGGCGCAGCAGCCTTCTCCTCCCTGAGGTGCGAGAGAGGTCCACGTATCGTCGGACATAGTAGTTGGACTCAAGATGGGAGATGTCTTGAAATGTATTGTTCTCGTTTGCATTTGGACGTGTTGTCGATGTGTTTGCCCTGCTGCCAAGTGGTTGCCTGGGAGTGGAAGCCATGTGGATGGCTGGGAAGGTCGGTGGAGGTGCAGGACCAAGTTTGAACAGTCTGCTTTGTCCCGGGTCTGCTTCGACTAATCCTCATGGAGGCTGTTGTTCCAAACTACGTCACCGGCCTATAGAACCCCAAGACTATCACTTGCAACAGGCTTCCCACAGTGTCAGCATGTCATCAAATAGCACTGCCACCGAGAAGCTCCTTTTCATCTTTGGTCCTTGGTGCTCAATCCATGTGAGCGTCTGCCAGAACGTCTTGTACAGCAAAGGGCGTGATTCAATCCAATCGCTGAGGGAGTTAGCCAAAGTCCTAAAACTCAAGACCGCTCTTTACTATATAAACTGATCATTGCCCGGTTTGGGGGTTGCTCATGTGGCTGCTTTGAGAACATCGCCACGCCGTCACTGGTTCTGCTGCGCTCTCACGAACGAATCAGCACACCCGGTGGTCCCATTCACGGTTCGTCTCTTTGAAGATCTTCGATCGTTGGTGGCAAACTCGGTGGCCAAACTTCTCCAGAAAACCCACGCCTATGAGATCCATGAGCCCGAGACCCTGGCCACAACCCCACCAAGACCAAGGCCCCGGCCCTCCAGCATCCTTGGGCAGAGCCAGGCTAGGCAAGACAGCCAGGCTACTGTATGTCAGGCCAAACCATTTAAAGGACTACCAGGATTTCCCGAGCGGACATGAGTGGAATGGGGTGGACCAGCTCTTTGGATCGTGAGGAACGTGGCCACTCCATGACCAAGGCTTGGAGGTTCGAGGGCCCAAGGTTGGGGCTGCAGTGTGGCCAACTTCTTGGACCATGTTTGGCTAAAAGCTTGACCGTCCTCCAACAACACCGATCTTGAGATCCTGCAAGGGAAGCTGTGAATTCTGCTGTCCACTGCTGTCCGAGCAATTCATGTGCCAATCCGAGGTGTCCTTCTGAAAAAAAAGCTTGCTCGTAGGAACATGGAGGAAATCCGACCGTGACGAACCTTCTTCAGGTTCTTTGACCTCTTTGGACAGAACAATGGATAAATGATGATAAATGGTATATGTTTTAATGACCCAACCGATGAACCCATCTTACTTGACAGGGGGCTACTTTGACAACCAACTGCATTCTTAGGTTGCAAACATCTTGGACATTGACCATCTCTCTTTGATATGCATCTGCGATCCAACAACTTTTGGAGCCAAGCCAATCGAAATCCAAGCCAGTCGACGAGGTCGACATGTCATCGGTCTTGCCGTCCCCGTGATGAGATGATGAGATGATGTCAGCCATAGACATGGTGTCAAGATGGTCCATATCTTCTTCGATGGTCTATGATGTCAACAAAAAACTGCTCAGAAAAATGGTGTCAATATGTGTCAAAACTAACCTGGAAACACGCTTCGGTCACTCCACGGGTTCCGCGAGGAAGAGTCTCAAAAAGAAACACCTGCATGGCGTCTCGCATCAAACGGATCCAACTTGGGCTGCTGGGGTCGGTCGGCCTGCGGGGTATCATTGATTTGTCTGTCTTTCATTGGTGGGCATCACATGGACAATGCCAGGGCGCAGGACTTGCCGCCGGCTCCTCACCGCAAGAGGAAAGCCATGACAACTGATGCAAACCAGCTGAGGGTGAAACGTCAGGTTGAGGGTAAGCCGAGATGAAAAACTCATACACCCCAATGGGAACATAGCATCCTCAAACTGATAGAAATTGCGCTCATCTTCCCATCCACGCAGAGGAAACTTGTTGTGCTGCTGTTTCTTTGGACCATTTCAGACCTGCTCATACCGACCTTTATCCCGGCTGTCCTCAGCTGCAGCTCCGCTTGTCTCGCCGGCCTCGGTAAAGGGCTGAGCACACAAAACCCGTTAAGGCCAGCTCTGGGCAACAGCCAGACATATACCAATGATGCCCCCCAAAAAGGGGGGGGAAGTGTGACCAACAGAATGTCATCTCAGCCATTTCATATCTCAAAAGGAGTTCTGAAGAGGTCCCACAAAGTTGGCCTTTGGGGAAAAATTGCGAGGGCTTACCTAGCCGAGGACCTAGCCCTAGGGCTCCAACTACTACTCTTTTCAAAGGTGAGAAAATTGAAAAGGTGTTATAGAGAGAGAGAGAGAGAGAAATAGATTAATGATAGATTCATTTTGTGGCCTAACAGCCTAAGTAGACCTTCTGATCTGAGTAAACACCAGAAGTCACTCGGTCAGGCTGCATTGGGCAGGTGGTGCTTTGTCCCTCACAGGTGGTTTTGGGGCCGGGACCCATAGGGAACACATGTTTGAACATTTGAAGGGCCACCGTGGGAGTTCTTTTTTTTATGTCTCGTGTCGCCGAAGGCGACTGACCTCCTTCGAAATGCGCACGTGCGGACTTCGTGGACACGCGAACTCGTGCTGCTGGGACACACCAGCAGGCTCCTGATCGCAGCCGAGTTGGGTGAGGCGATACTAAACAGGTTACTCACACCATGACGGCTGCTATTGGTCCCTTGTTCTGAACAGTGATGCCTGGGTTGCCTATGTTCCACTTTGATTCATGATTGGAGGGAGTGTGAACCTCCACCTTGAGATGTCCGAATCTTGAGGAACATCGTTCAGAGTCCTCGGCAAACTCTACTTTCTTCTCTTTGTCCTTGGCACAAGGTGTCTGGACAGCAGCCACAGCAGTCCGCATTTCAACGCACGCTTGTTTCTTTGTCCATGCAGTTCTCTGGCACCAGTCTGTCACCCAATCCAACTCGTGCTTCCCGTTCCCTCTCTCCACTACGTGCCGCTGGGCAGCGCCAGCGGTGTGCAAAGAATCCCCATCACTGCGCACATCCTCCGGCGCCACACCGCCCTCCGCCAGCGCCGGCGCCGCCGAGGCGCCCGACGTGCGGTCAGCGACCGTGTCGGTGGGCGGCTCGTCGGGGTGAGCTGCGGTGGTGCCGGTGCCCGCACCACGCACCGGCGCCGTGCCCGTGCGCCAGGACTCCTCAGTGCCTTTGTCGGCCATGGTCGTGGTGGGGTCGGTGCCGTCTTCCGGCAGCTCGGTGCTATCGGCAGGCATGGGGCCATCTTCTGGCCCCTCACCGCCAGCACCGGGCCTCGGCTTTCTGAGAGGAATTTCGGCGTCAACTGGTCTCAAACAGAAATATATACACGCCGTGTGCATCCATTAGCCAGTTGCGCACCGCATGCGTGTTTCTTGGACAAGCCAGTCAGGTCATGTCAGGTTCACCAAGTGCCACATCCTTAAGTCATTGATAAAAGATCATGCCCACTCAATAAATTTGATGACCTCAAATAAAACAATAGGATGTCATATAGTTTGATGTCAAAGGATGCCATAGTCTGATGGTCGTATGACCTATGGTATTCCACAACACTGCGGAGCCTATGATATCCACATCACTGCGGCACTTGCCCCTTCTCCTCACGTCCCAAGGCACGGGGCTTCAGCAGGAGCTTCCTCGCCTGCTGCGGCACCCCACGCAGCTGCCCTGGAGGTGTAGGGCTGCTCTGAGCTGGGCCCCTGCGAAGGACAAGGCATTTGTTCCCGAGAACTTATTGAGTTGACGTTTTTGAATGTATTGGACTCTCTCTCTCTCTCTCTCGCTCTCTCACTCTGTCTCTCTCTCTCTCTCTCACTCTCCCTCTCTCTCTCTGCAGAGTCTAGCTGTCTCACAGCCGTGCCGCAGACCCCACAGGGACAGTCTGATGGATTAAGCTGCACTCTCACTTGGCTAACGCAGGTCGCACAAACCAAAGTGTTTAGCGTAGTTCAATAATAGTGTTTGGGGTCGCTTGCAGTAGTGCTTGCCCCAGGTGCTTTTCACCTAGCTCGCAGCTCGGAGGGCCCTCAGTGAGTGAGCTGGATGGTGGGGATGCCCAGCTTTCACGACCAACCGCGCCTCGTGCTGAGTAGATTGAGGGGCGCCCTGGCAGGTACAAGCGTTTCACCACTGAATTTAGGAAACAACAAAAGTGCTGTCAATCGGAAACCCTCTGGTTCCATCTTGTTGACCCTGTTGGTTTGATTGGCCATGTTTGTTTGAGCTCGGATCCACTCCTAGCTCGTTTGGTCTAACTTTAATTTCAGTCACCTTCACTGCTGCGCTTGAGGGTGGGCTCGGCACTTCAACATCACCCACTTCGCAGGGGACATCAGCATCAATCAAGCTCCACGCCAAACATTGTTCAGAGGCCACGGCCACGACACCGACATACTCACCCATTGCTTGGATCCAGGATCTCCCATCCACAAACTCCGTTCCATCTCGGTCAACATGGCTGGGGCTCCCCCCTCGCCAGCTCCAAGGTCGGATTGCTGGTGCCGTAGAGCGCATGTCCCCGGCTCCTGCGAAGTCGCGTGCCGTGACGGAGTCCAAAGCCAGGAAGGCCACTTCTAGAGTAGCTTCTTGTTCCTAGTAGTAATGCCCGTAGCTTCTTGCTACTAGTAGCGATGCACTTGTTCCCAGCACTGATTCCCCCCAAGAGAATGAATGTCTGATGATGAGCCTCCAACTGGTGCGTTATTCAAAGATCCCGTGAGGAGGATGCTCCCCCAAATCCTAGGATGCGACATGATGCTTTCCTTGCTCACCTAGACTCAAGATCTCAGCCAGCCCCGTGGGTGTGATTTCTCTGTACCTCGCTCCCACACCTTCGGTAGTCCCCACGAGGCATACCAGGAGGTTGCATTGGCCTGGAGTTGCAGCTCGTCATGAGGACGCGACGGGTGTTCGGACTGTCACACGAAACTCCATAGGGAACAGTCCCAACATGCAACCGAACACAACTCAATGATCACTGGCCAATGCTTGGTCACTTTAAAAGTGTTGCTATGTACTATATATGTATTCCTGTATTCCTGTATCTTGGAGTCATGGGCTCTTCTCGACAAGGCAGACCTCATCCAGTCCCGTAGCTTCTTAGATTCTACCATGCGGTCTCTCAACGGCTCTCAAATGAGAATGAGTCCTCAATGCCCAAATGCCCATCCCAAACAGGTTCTGAAGAACATGGCCACCTCCATGTTCCTCTGTTCTGTTCCACTTCCACTTTGCTTGGTTTTGGCCTCTGCATGGAGCGCCGGTTCATCGGTGGGCTCCGGTAGGCCTGAAGCAGGTAGCGAGAGCGGTAGAGAAAGAACAGCAGTCGAGTCTTCTTCTAGTGTATTGCTGGGTTCATGACTCTCAGATGACTTAATCCCAGAGTCTTCTTACCATGCTCCTAGTAGTAAGGCCAGGAGGTGCGTTCGTAGCGTCCGATCGCTCCTAGTAGCGATGCCAGGAGCCCCTAGTAGCTTCTAGTTAGTGTATATAGCTTGACCGGAGATCATGTCAGCATGACTCTGGGATTGACAAACCTTCGAAGTCTTCACCCCCTCTAGCCGACCGATGATCGGTGGGATAAACATTCTGTAGAATGGCAAAAGAGCAAAGAGACCATCTTCCAAAAGTGCTTGGACGGCCTGCATCGGCGGAGGACTTGCATACCAATCCGGATACCATTGCTGCTGCTGCTGAAAGGCTTCGGCCGCTGTAGCCGCTTGGGCCTGGGCCTCCTCTGGAAGCATCTCCGGGATCTGACCGCCAAAGAAGTCGCCTTTACCGGGCCACTTGCCGAAGGCCTGATGCACCGCCAGTTTCCACGTTGAACGATAAATGAGTTCAAGAATATCTCAACATCAAGAATAGTTCAACTGTCCAGTTGAATCTCGAAATGTCCGAGAATCGCTCGCGCCTTGCCCTTTCCGCCGCCATAGCCTTTCCCTTTGAAGTCTGGAGGTCCTTTTCCTGAGCCATAGCGCGTTCTGTCATGTTCTGCCCCCAAACCAAGGCGTGCTGCTTGGCCATGTCATGCCCGTAAGTGCAAGCCAGCATCCCATCATGGACCGCCGCTGTGCAGTACCTGCGTTGTGTAGCGACTGAGCATCTCCAAACAACAAAACTTCGATTCGTAATACTCATACTCATAGGACCTTTTATCAAAAAGATACCTGCCACAAGCCCTTGCTCGCCCCATTCCTTTGCAAGGCCAAAGGAATCAATGTGATCCAACTGCTGTCCACAACGCCAGCCTGGATCACCCTTGAAGCCGCCCTTCCCATGGCCCTTCAGGTCGCCCTTGTCGCCCTTCACATGCTCGCCCTTCGAACCGGGACGCATCTGCTGCAAGTCAGCAGCCACCTTTAACCAGGCAAACAAGCGAAGCGGCGACTCTTACTCCACTGTGACCGGGTGGAGAACCCCAAATCTACCCTTGGCTCACCGTATTGGAGCTGCCAAAGCTAGCTTCGCCTGCCTCTTACAAGTTTGGATGCCCTCTGCACACAGATGCTAGTTCCCTCCAAGTGTTCAAGATTCAGGCTGCAATGCGCCTGAATGCATCCTACAGCATCATCATGTCCAATCCTCGTCCTCCAAAACAATATGAGCCAAACAGGGTCATCTTCACCATCACCAAAAGTCCGCTCATCTTCGATCCTCGGCCTGGCTTTGCTGGTCCTTCAGCTGCCTCAAACGGCTCACCTGCTTTGCCAGGCCCGGATCCACCAGCTCTGAGGCCGCCTCACCACCCTCAGCACCTGCGAGATGGGCAGTGGAGGGGGTAGAGGGGAATCATGAGAGATGACTCAAGTGACTGCAACATGAATAGCATAAATTATTGACGAGCTTTCGAACATGGTTCTTGGATAGATTTAATGTGCATTGCACATTGACCCTGCTTTGGTGGGGGGACCCCACCAACCCGCATGCGTTAGAACAACGGGCCGGTACTTCGGATATATATAAATATATATATATATAGAGTGCATCAGATTCGGATAGGCCTTCAGGGGGGAAGAAACTCTGATTCTGATTTTGGCCCCTTTGGCTGGCTCCAACGATGCTTGAGGACTTACCAGGGCAAAAATTCCGGCAAAGGTCGGCAAAGCCTGGTGCTTGCCCATGCCTCAGCCATGCCAGGCCAGGGCTATCCAGGTGAGGCTGCCAAAACAACACAGGGTGCTCTCAGTAGCTTGATAGCACAACACCACAATGATTAGCAGCAGCAACTGCCAAATAACCCAGAGGCAATATCGATTCCCCTCCACTGGGAGCCCCAGACCGAACCCCAAACCACACTACAATCTGTGACAAGGAATGGATGAGGGGCCAAAAGAATAAGAATAGCCTCAAAAAAATGGTTCGACGGTGGTCACAGAGCGAGAAATGAACAGGAAAAAGAGACCAGGGAAAGGACAACAGCAGCAGGGCGCCCGACAGGAGGATCTGACAGCCCCCACGCAGAGCAAACCAAAGCACCAAAAAAGACAACAAAAGAGAACGAAGGATAGAAATGTTGGACACGGCAAAGGTGAGCTCTATCATCCACCAGAGGACAAAAACCAAAAAACTGAGAGACTTTGGCGACGGCGTGCAATATTCAATATTTGGTGTGGATATGCGATGGGTGACCTCTAAAACAGGCCCAGTACAGATTTCGTGGTGCTGGAGGGGGGTTGCCAACTACAAAGGCCACCAGACTCAGAAGTTCTTCAGAAGGCATTAAAATAGATCATCATCGAAAACTACACTACACATCCTATGGCCCCGTCAATGAAAGGCTCATCCACCACAGGACAATGAAAGGATGCTTGCAACACAAAATCCACAAGGTTTAGGCGAGTGCGTGCAATATGTTGTGTGAACATGCGATGGGTGAGCGGCTCAAGGCACCACCAAATAGATCACCATCGAGAACTACACACCCCATTGCCTCATCCATGAAGGGTACCCAGAAAGTGACACAAAAACCAAGGCAACCGTTCAACCGAGTAGTTTTCTGTTTTCGCAAACCTCGTGTTTGTGACCAATGGACCACGAGGCCAGCGGACCAGGGGACCAATGGACTAGGGGACCTACTCAGGATAATGTTTGTTTTTTGATCCGGTTCTTTGTTTCTTTTGATCTAGAATCTAAATGCCGCAAAGAATGGCCTTGGGGTCTCCTGTTGCAAGCATTCCCATTTCAAGCAGCAGCTTGCTGGTCCAAAGCTTCGCCCTTTCCAATGTGTGTTGAGGTGCTTCCACACATGACTCAGTTGCACCCCAAAACATGGAACACGCCAATCAGCCGCCCCAGCTAGATTCATTTGGGGATCCACTGACTAGTGGCTAACTCAATGGGGCAACCTGGGGCCCTGACAAAACTGCTTTCATCTGCTCTGCTTGCTTGCTCAGGTCCGCCAACCTGAGGATGGGTTCGGGTCAAACACCTCCCTACAGCTTCACCAAGCTCACCGGTCGTGGATGTTCGCTGAAGCTGCGGTCGTGCTGTCGAAGTCATCCAGCTGAAGGGTGCAACTCATATTCTGACTCCACGAGTTGGAACCAAAAAAAACATTAACCTTGTTCCACCTGTTCTCGTTAAGTGGGGAGACCAATCCCCTCAAACAGATCAGTTCAAGGTCTACGGCCCATCTGCGCCGTTTAGGGCACCCGGCCGCGCTCGATGTTCCTCCCGCTGCTGCGCACGCTGCGCCGCCATTTGCGCCAACTTGGCGGCTCCAACTGGCGAGTCACTCCATCGCGGCCCCGAAGCCAGCAAAAAAGGGCCGGTGTTCATTGTAGCATGTTATAGTCTAAAGCTAAAGCCTGGCTAAATGGGACCCAAATGGGAAACTGGTCGTGTTTTGGATGGGCGCTCAGGATGCGCAAGCTTGCCCGAAAGGATTGCGTTCGCCGCGGCGAGCGGAGACTCGATCACAGGCCATCAGGGTTCCCACACCGAAGGCCTAAGCCTTCTGGTCTTGAAACAAATGCCGATCACCGGCATGCGTCAGTTCCTATGGTGTCCTGATGATTCAGATGGACCAGTTGCCATGCGCAATGACACGAACGATTTGAAAGAATGGGACTTCCAACAGTGGTAAATAATCCAAAAGAGGCTCTATCCGCATACATGCAGCCCATTCTTGAAACCACATGTCGATGCATCATGATACATCATGATCCTCAGTGCGTGGCTGTGCTCATATGTGGTGCCGCACGCACCTTCTGTGGCCAATCCCTCCGGCGCCTTCCTCGGGCTCTTCCCCCGCAGGCCGGCGCTCAGCACCCTGAAGATCCAGTGTCACGGTGAGTGTCAGGGTGAGCGGCAAAGTCACCCCCAAATAGATGAAAAGCAAGCCAGAGAGGGGAGAGACAGACAGACACAGACACAGACACAGACACAGACACAAACAGACACAGACAGACAGACGGACTGAGACAGATAGACAGACAGACAGACAGACAGCCAGACAGGCAGACAGGCAGACAGGCAGACAGGCAGACAGGCAGACCAGACCAGACCAGACCCGACCAGACCCGACCGGACCCGACCGGACCAGACCAGACCAGACCAGACCAGACAGACCAGAACAGAACAGAACAGAACAGACCAGACCAGACCAGACCAGAACAGACAGACAGACACAGAGAGACCAGACACGGACAGACAGACACAGACAGACAGACACAGACAGACAGACACAGACAGACACAGACAGACAGACACAGACAGACAGACAGACAGACACAGACAGACAGACAGACAGACACAGACAGACAGACACAGACAGACAGACACAGACAGACAGAGACAGACAGACAGAGACAGACAGACAGACAGAGACAGACAGACAGAGACAGACAGACAGAGACA